CCCAGTTAAATGTACAACAAAACACAGAGAATATGCATGAAATAAACGGAAGCAAATTTTAAAAAGAAACTATTACTATCTGAAAGGTTTGTATTATCTTTTGTGTTACTTACTAATGTTCAGTAGTCTATGGCAAAAATCTAAAAAAACAAAGTGAATGAATTGATTTGGTGTTGTTTTACTTGTATCTTTCCATTGTTATTTAGGACTGCAATTGATCAGTCTGATGTTGGTATATATGCATCCTGTGCGGATTGCCTCGATATAGCTTGGATGCCCAACAGCAAGTCAATTTAAATTTCACCATATTGCACATCCAGGTGACTATCAGGATTCAGTAGCTAAGTGGAGAACGTGATGGCGTTTGAAGCGAACGATACTGGGTTCGATTCTTGGGGTGAACATCAACTCTGGGATGTAGGTACATCCAAATGACGAGTCTCAAATAGGATGAAACGCGCGTCCTGGGTTCCACTGCTAGCCATTATCCTACATTGAGTGGATGTTTCGAATTGCGAAATTAATTTGTATTTAACGAAGAATATTCTTTTCAATGAATTTCTCATCAGGTTCTAAAATTATCTCATTTCCAAATTAATAATCCATAAAATTGACCAGACTTAACTCAGAGTTCATCATTTATAGTTGTAACATGTGAATCAAGGATTGTTGTTTGTCATGTCGTTAATGTTGGGACTGACTAATATGAAGTTGTTAACTTGAATCAGTTTATAAGTTAAATGGAATTGTGAGATAAATAATGATCCGAATAAATATGATCAATATGGGGTGAGTGAGAGAGAGAGAGAGAATAATGTAATTACAAATCAGAAATTACGTGTATATGTAGAATAATATGAATTAGGTCAGATATAGTAGATAGGGGCGGATCCTGAATAAATTTCTGGAAAAGGTTATCAAGTGTAATAATAATAATAATAATAATAATAATAATAATAATAATAATAATAATAATAATAATAATAATATGATGATGATGATGATGATGATGATGATGATGATGATGATGATGATGATGATGATGATGATGATGATGATGATGATGATGATGAATTTGGGACATAAAAATGAACATTAATCAAATTACGTCACCATATTATGAAATTGATTATTAACTAATTGGCCTTGAAGTTGGCCAGGGTAAAAGGAGCGGCTGAACATATTTCTTTTAGATGCAAAGCCCCGGCTTTTTGATCCGAATAGCAATTGCTTCAGCCGTCTGCAGGATTCTCAATCTGATGGAATTAGGTAAACTGCTATTAACACTATATATTATTGCGCAAGATCACTCTATGTTGGCTGTATATCCCATCTAAATTAAATGAGCTAAAATGAAGCTGTTAACCATTTTAACTATACCTTTGTTTAACCACATTGGGAGGTACTCACGAGCCCGAATATACAAATCCCTAGAACATCTGCCAATATAACTTGCTCTACAGGAGCAGTTGAATTGATAGATACAGAAAGATGTGGTTAATCTGGGCAATTTATCTTTAAACCTCATAGTGATCATTGGACATGTGGAAAACATTAATTGTAGTTTACCTGCATTAAAAGCGGAACCTGATGAGAAATTATTGAAAAGAATATTCTTCGTTCATATAATTGTGTTTTAGTATAATGGGAATTTAGTTAAGAAGTAGAAATACCATTATTTTGTTCTGTTTATAACTGGATTAAAATAGAACCATTCTTAAGCAAAAGTATTATTATTCCGCATAAAAATTATCGGCAATTTTATTGTCAAGAACTATGGAGTGAATATGTATTGGGGAGACCCAGAAAATTCCTCGAAAAAAGCACAAAGGGGCCCTGAAAACGCTGAGAAATATCTTATCCAATCAGTATTCAATAAAGGTGTCTCAGAAACATCTAGAAAGTGAAAATTCACGTGATACATTTCTGAATGGGTTTTCACCTATCCTGCTACAATATTTAGAAGGGCCCAGGAAATTTCCAGAAGCCCAAAGCCACTTGAAATACTATAAATACCCTCGATTTTCTGTACATAAACTAACCTTGGAGCAAAGTGTTCTTCGCATATTTCGCGCCTTTTCTCTCGTGTTCAGGTCGCCGTGTGGATTTAGTCTGGGGGTTCAACTGGTAGATTTATCAGTATGAATCACCATACCAAACAAATAAAGAAATATGAGAGATCAGTAGTATGTGAGACTAATGGACCAAAAACAGAATGGCATATTGAAGTATTTTGATGTAATTTCTCAGGGTAGATAACCACCAGTTGCTATGATTAGTAATGAGATATGATTACAAACGGTAGTATGTCAACAAAACGAATATACGTTTTAATGGACGATGTTAGAATGTCCCAAATTTATAAATCTGAGATTAAACTAGGACCATAGCAACAAAAACGGTTTTATAAGCCACTCTCTTGTATACAAACATAGTTGAAGATTGCATAAATCTAAAGCTTCCTCATCGAAAAGAAGACACAAAACTATAAATTTTGTTAGACTACCTTTGGTTTTATCAATATTTTTGAACAATGAGCTTGATGCAACATAGTGACTGTCAACTACTCATTGAGAAATGGATGACCTTATTTTTCCAGATTCTTCCTTTAACGAAGAACATTGAAAACGAATAATCATATTTTTAATGTAGCTCGATATACTATACGGTGTTTTATTGAATGTGTTGTGTAGAGATTGGTAAAATTTACAGGTGGTATTCATCATTCTTTAATCACATTTCAGATACCACTGATAACCAGCTGTTTCATCCTCACATGAAACTCCCCGGAAATGTACAACCTCCATTTCACCATGGACTAAGACCAGGACCTTCTGGTCTAGCTGAATTTTTGCAACTGGAAACTCACCCAATGGTTCTAATGGTTCAGTATTTGCAGCGACATCTGAAGTTTCTTGGTACGACTCCTGGTGAGGTTATGGATATGCACTTCTGACTTTTATACCAGAAATAAATAACTATCTAATATCTTGAGCTTTCAAACATACTCAACTGAGATCAATCTGTGAAGGAATACAGCCCTGTAAATTGAACTAATTTCCACGAAATCCCTCCAACCAAGCTACAACACGACTTTTTTTACAAAAATAAACATTCTTATTCCATAAACTTCGTTTACATAATATTGAAAGTAGAATATCTCCATTTTTTCAAAAACTGGATACAATACTACTGTACTTTAGTATCCTACCAAGTACGTTATCTTAGTAACAAACCCTTCATATTGGAAATTATTTCGTCAATACATTTGCGTGAAAGTTCTTTAACTTAAAGCTTCCATTTATTGTGTTATACAAATCTTTCAGTTTTTTTGTTGTTGTGATATTTTGAAATTTTACTTATATTTTCAACTACATTGTCAACAGGCTTTAAAGCCACAAAACAATCAATTAATAACCTATTTCAGTCGTTTATATTTGTATTTTCCACAAGGTAACCTCTAACTGTTTTTGTTGTTGTTTCGTTTGAGTATACTTAATTGTTGATTATTTTGTTTTATGATATGTTCATTGTGTCCATAATGAACGAAGACTTGATGAGAACAACCGATTTATTATTCAGTCCAAACAAATCAAGTAAATTTCAATTTTGCCACATTGTACAAGCAGGTGATTATTAGGACTCAGTAACTAAGTGGGGAACGCGATGATGTTTGAAACGGACTGTACTGGGTTCGATACAGGGAGTAAACATAAACTTGGGGATGCGGATACGTCCAGCTGAAGAGCCTCAAACAGAACTAAACGCATGTCTTCGATCCCACTGCTAGCCACCGTCCATTTTTGCTTATGGAAATTATAGAGTTCCTCTGTAAAATGTGAAAAACCATACATTAAATACTTGATTTGCAAATCTTCCATCAATTGTTTCAAACTTCATCGTTCCTTCATTGCTATTAAAATTACTCTCTATTTACATTCCCGTTCTCTTCGATTCGATCTTCACGACCTTCTACTACCAGGCATTCCACTTCCGATTGAGGTTACATACTACTTATGTTGACAGACATAAGTAGCATACACTAAATACCTACTGAGCTATCCTTCGATAGCTTTTTTTTGTTTGCAGTTCTTGTTTTGTATTCATGGGAACGTTATCAAAAAAGTTATACTTTCCTCTATATTACCCTAGAAGCAATATGCCTATAGGTTGAAAATAAAAAGAACCAATAACTGAATAATAGAACATCATTTAAGTAGACCGTAATATGTCTAAATATACCTTCAGTTTAAAGTTTTTAGGATTATGTAATATCTTGTTTAACATATTTTCAGCAGAAATTACAAAATTATCTGATGCCCTAACGAGTTACAATTCATTGATTATTCCAATTTCTAAATATATCCCATTTCAATATGTCGAAAAATTGATTTCAAAATAAGTAATCAGTAATGCACAATAATGTAAACTTCTAGAAATCATACCATTTTTGTTAGTTTTTCTTTCAGGAATGGTTATAAAATAGTTTAGCAGTAAATAAACACATATTTTTGATAGCCTGACCGTTGTTTCTACTCTAACATGGTGGTCGGGCTTGCCTATCGTAATGAACAAATCGAACTATATTGGCTAGAACAATCGTTCTTCGATGTCCTACCATGCCAGACAGGTCGGTTAAAGAACAGTAAATAAAGTACCCAACTGCGTCACAAGGTAAACACTCACTTGTAATTCTCAAGTTCAAAGGAGAAGAGGAAGACCAACGAACACATTACACCAAGAAATGGAGACATGCATGAGAAGAATGAACAATAATTGGATGGAATTAGAAAGGAAAACCCAAGACAGAGTGGATTAGAGAATACTGGTCAATGACCTATCCTCCACTGGGAGTAACAGACGTAAGTAAAATCAAAGATTTGTTAATAAATAACACAAAAGTTTTCTTTATAGATACACAAGAAAAAACATAATAATAACAATAATAAATACTCTAAATGCAAATTGTATTATCTATTAAAATGGGTTTTTTTCTCTCCCTCGTAATTATTTCCCTTTACAATAAAAAAAGATAAATAAAAAGAACAACGAAAATAATAGTCATCATCAACTAACTTAAAGGTATTCTTCTTTTCCTGTTACATAAGACAAATTCTTTCCAAATGCTTCCCTTTTTATGAAAAGAAAATAATGGTCATTTATTTTGAATGTAATAAACTAATTATTCATTTTCATTGAATTGTTAATTCAATATACAAAAAAAAGAAGGAAATATACATATATGTATATAAATGTGTTATTGTATATATGATTGAAATGAATACATTGTGAACTGATTCCATTATGATTATGATCTATATTAGTTTATTATTCTGTTGTTGTTTTTCTTGTTATTGAATACTCTCATAGTTTAACAATCTCAGCTATCGGGAATTTTGAAACAGACATTTAAAAAAAAATCAATAACAATCGGAAAGAATTGTTCAGGATAGAGTTCGATCTGTGAATCCTGGTAGGCGGCTTATGCTCCTTCATGAGGTGTAACAGGTGTAAGTAAGTAAGTACGTAACAATCTCAGGATTATATGTAGACAGAAATATACAAAGTTCATAGAAATCTATACATAAATTTTTCTATACAAGTTTAGTATAAATAACTACAGTTATAGCTATGAATAAATACATTATACTTATTAATAATACAATGCAGGTAATATAAGTAGTATATATCGATAATGATAAAATAATTGAACTAAATTTATTAAAACAATATAATATGTATAATGAAATTGTTTTCTAATTGAATTAGCTGAATTACATTTATCTTTATTACAAAAACATAAATGACCAATGGATGATCGTGATTCAGCTATACAAACTAAATATTTCTCCATTTTCATATTTAAACTTGTTGAACAATTTCTTATTAAATGTTTCTGTCCATCTAAATGAATAACGAAAGAAAGACAACAATAAATATTATATGCATTAATATTTATTGGTAGACTATAAAATATTTAAAATTACTAATAAGTAATACTGTGGTGTGGGTTACTTATATCCATATAAGTAGTATATGACGACGGTCAAGCATAAAATGTATTTCAGTAGAAGATCGATAAAGAAAGAACGGGAACGAAACACAATTGGTATAAAAATGCATGAATAATGAGATCTGAGATAATGGACTGATATTTGCAAAAGGAACAGTTAACTTTAAGACGATGGATTGATATTTTTCAAATTAACTATTTACTATATGGTTCTCGAATTTTAGTCAAACGCTCGATTGTCCGCACCCGGGTTCTTATTCACCCCAATAATTGGGAGTAATAAAGTTTTTAAAACTATTTCATAGAGAATTATTGTATATGTTATCGTATTTTCATCATATAACTCTTATTTTAAGCCTTCATTTGTAAACATTCACTGTTGTGATATACTTTACTGCTCTTAGACTATCGTTAATTCATTATAAACCTAATGTTTAGTTTTATGCTACATATCACTTAGTTGTGATTTCTTATTTGTAATGTATGCTGTGGTCATATAATTGAAGTATATAATCTTGTGAGTTTTGAGTCAGGAGGAAAATACAGAGCAATATAACAATAGAAGGCAACTTTGGTCGCTATCTTCACCTTCTGATTGGCCACTGGGGATAAGAGGAACTAATGATTTCCGGTCATTGTTCATGGCTATTTTTGTCATTGTTTAAGGGAAAATCGTTGGTTCGATAGACAAACAAGTCATTGGTAAATTTTGTGTTGTTAGATGACCCGATCAAGATAACGAGAAAGAAGTTCTAATTTCATAATAAATACACTGCAAATTAGTGATTAGAGATAATTAGTAAAATGTACCATCAGTAAATTGTATCAATAATTTTGAGGGAACTGATACTATCTGTGAAACTTGAACTTGGAACACTTAGTGGTGTAATCAGAGACTCTGCTATTGAGTATTTACAAAAACAGTCAAATATATTAAGGAGGAATATAGAAATTGAAAAAAGTCATGCACATTACACGTATCATGTACCAGTTAAAGTAAAAACTGAAATTGTCTGGATGGATATGGGAGAGAAAAAAGATGTATTAAATATGGGGTTTGACTAACTCTTTTGAATATTTTTGACTTCTATAGTGTATGGAAAAAGTATATTATCAATGAATGAGACAGATTAGTCAAAGTATAATAAACCTATAGTTCATAATGACAAGAGGTTTGATATAGATCGGATATATATATATATATATAGAAAATTGCGCTTAGAACTAGTGAAACTAAGAAACCTGTCTTTGTTTTCTGAAACGAACAACGTCAGTTGAGAAATAAGTCATTATGTATTTGTACAAATATATGTACCCGCATGAATATATGCCTTCGTTTGACTAAGTAGGATACATAGAAAAGGTTAACACATAGACCTTCGATCTTATATCGTTAAATAAAAGTAGCTTGAATTTTAGTGTGAAACATCATCTTCTTCTACTATACTCCATAACAAGTTTTCTACGAATACCAATCAAGAATATCAAGTAGTATGCGCTAGTTTTAAAGTTGAGGTATATTATAACTGACAAACCGAAGAAATGGGTTATTACTGAAATAAACACAATTCCAATTTTATGATGATAAGATGTAATTTAACATATCTCAATAACTTCTTAAACAGATAATAACCGTTTATCTTTGAAATATCTGATTAAACTGATTAAACAAAAAGCAGAAATAAATAAATAACTCATTAGACCACATTATTAGGTCAAATTTTTTTAAAACTGTTCTTTGTTAAAATTGGATAATTGCTAGTAGTGCAATCGGGGACGAGCATTTCGTCTTATTTGTAACTTATCAAGCAGATTTCTCTATATTGTAGTGTTAATTTTCATACTGAAACTCGAACCCAGTACTGTTCGTTTAAACAATCAATAAGTTATCCTTTGAATTACTGAATCCGGATAGTTAATAGCTCGTGCAAATGGTATGAATAAACCATTGCTTATGGTGTTAATTAACTAAAAGTATCCCGGAATGGATAAATATGCAAAAAACATGTATAAGAAATTTTTAATCTGTGATTAACTGTCACTTTATATTTATCCGTAAATATTTACGACAATTCTTGTTCCCATGATATATATTTCGATGGGCGAATGTATTTTATGTTTTTCTGAAAGAGAGGAGGATCATATACAAACCATCATAGTAGTACTTCTTAAGTATCTCAATAATCAAGTTTGCGAGAGGTTGTAGGTATCTTATGAAGGCATGTAAGTACACTGTGACAGACAAAATTGAAATAGATCTAAAACATATGAATTTATGATAACATATACACATTTGGAAAACTGATGACGCAGAAAATAAGGATCACCGTGCAACTACTACATCCCAGAGGTTCTTTAACACGAACCCCCACCCTACTATAGATAACTTAATTCGTATTACCTCGTGTATTATGTGATCTTTGGCTGGAAATTCTATCTGAGTAAGTAATTAGATTGTTACTTTTCTCAGGCCACTCACATAGATTTACCTCGAATTAAATTATAAGCAGCCCACAGACTGACTAAACTATACATTCACATACTAATTATTTTAACACTTATAAATTCCAATAAAAGTTTCATTACTAATAAATACAAATATACAAATTGTATTTTAATCACACATATATTAAGAGTTGATTGAAGCAAGCAGTATAATATAAAACAGTATCAAATATATCAATGTTTGAATTAACCACAAAAGATGTACAAGTATATAATGAAAAATATTTTTAGTTTACCTGGACCTTGAAAAGCCCATTTAAAACAATAATCATTACAATCTACTAAAGGGAATGATTTGGTCTGTTGTGGTTGTCGGAAAAATGGATCATTACAGTGATTGTCTTCAACAGAATTACAACTGTAACATTTAATTCGTTGACCTTAAATTATAGAGGGAAAAGACAAAAAAAATGTTGCCAAATGAAGTCGAACTATCTGTACACTTATATAGGTATACTATAAATATTTACTGATCAAGTGAATAATATAACTTATTGACTTTCGTAAAATATATAGATTACAAACATAATAAAAATTAATGACATAAAATTTACAAATAACAAAATAATCTTTAATCAATGGTGAAAGAAGTGATTTGAAAAGTCGAAGAATAAGCTGAACAAACTTCGAAATTTTTTACATTCATTTACACATTACTTACTTTACACTGATTAAATTTGTGAAATCCATTGCTGCAGTTCACTTTGCAATACAGACACTACCACTATATATATACATACAGTATGTATCCTTATAGTGTTTACTCAGTTTTTTGTCCTGACAAAAAATGACAATAAAATATAACATCAAGCTATAAGTTGTGCTACGCCTATCTCCCGACTAGTGTACAAGATATGAAATCATATCTTGTAATTCTAACATTTCTGAGAAAGTTTTATGAAGTTTGAAATTGGTTAAAACAAAATGAAACAATTACGTATTTCATACAACCAGATCCCTTGATAAATTTAAACAGAACAAGAACAACAATATTTGAACAATAAAATGAATCTGTTGTATTTCACGGTTTCTCATCAGCTGCATATAACGTAAAATCACAATTAATAACACAAATATGGTTAGCAACAAGTGTATAACATACTTTGGTTTGTGAATTTTAGATAAATGTTCGAAACTTAACGAAAACCATAATAATAAGAAGAATAGGGACACAAAATGTATGGATGAACATGGTCAAGATCGATCCCGATCGAAGCTGTTACCTTGACGCGGTGGTCGGGCTTGCCTATCGTGATGACCCAACCGAGCTATATTGGCTGGAACATATGTTCCTGTAGGTTCTACCATGCCAGGCAGGTCGATTGGTGAACGGTAATACTAAAAGCAGCAACTCAAGGTCCGAGGGCGAAGTCGTACTGCTGACTGTAGAGAGGTGTGACATCAGTAAGGTGTTTCCATCGGACAACCAGCATCTGCAGCGATGCTGCCTTCTCACAAGGAGGGGTGGGGTTAGAAAAGGTCGACCCTAAAAATGTCACACCTCACGGATTTCCGTCTCCGGCGGTAAGGCCCTTTGAAGAACGGAGCTAACACATTAAAAACCTTCCACGAAAAGGCCGTGCGCGACCGGCCTCAAGCAGGTGTCTCTTGGGCTCTGTGGTCACGCTCCCAGGTCTTTAAGACCAACACTAATCCAACTTCCTTTTCAGATTCCTCAAGAAATACCCTTCCATGGTGTGGGCAGCCGGGAAGTGACATCAGCCCTCATACCCGTAACAGCACAAGAGACCAAGTTGGTCACATTCAAATACTTCCTACACCTTCTAATACCTCTCTTATCTCCATGACTAACCCTCCTCACGTCTCTTTATCACCTCGCACCGCTAGGGCAAATGATTATTGTACGCGGAACGTTATTCCTGGTCTCCTGAAACCACGCTCTAAACTATACGTAGGAGCTTATAACGTACGAACACTGTGCCAACTAGGACAGCAGGCATCCTTAGCTAGGACTTTAGAATCCCGCGCCATCGATGTGTGCTGCGTCTCCGAAACGCGCATACAGGATCCGAGTAGCGTCATTCATTTGACCTCACTATGCCAAAATAAAGAACTGACTCGATTCACACGTCATGTATCTGGAAGCCCTGATTCTGCTTCCCGTGGCCTTGCCGGCGTAGGTATAGCATTGAGTCCTAGGGCAGAACTAGCTCTCTTAGGGTGGATCCCAGTAGGCAGTCGTTTGTGCGCTGTCCGACTGAACGGAACAGTAAGAATCCGGAAAGATAGAGACACTCGTCGTTGCCTCTTCGTCGTCTCTGCCTATTCTCCCACTGACTGCAGCGCAGATGATGTAAAAGATGAGTTTTACAAAAAGCTTTCCGACCTCCTCCGAAAAGCTAGGCGCTCGGATGTAGTAATAGTGGCCGGTGACTTTAATGCTCAAGTAGGTAAACTAAGCGATAAGGAAAGACACCTGGGTGGATCATATGGTGTCGTAGCTCAAAGAACAGATAATGGCGACCGTCTGTTGCAGCCATGCTCAGATAACCGCCTGTTCCTTGCAAATACTAACTTTAAGCATAAGGAAAAACATCTTTTAACATGGCGAACCCCTAATTCGTCCCAACGTTGGACCCAAATAGATCACATCGCTATCAGCCACCGATGGAGGGGCTCGATAGAAGACTGTCGCTCATTCTGGAGCACATGCCTAGATTCAGATCATGCTGTCTGCGTCTTACTGGACGTAGGAAAGACGCTGCAAGGAAACCTCTTAGGGGCCTACTTAATGATAGTCAAGCTAAGAGTATATTTCAGGAACAACTAGAAAAACAGTTAGGCAGCCATGTATGTGATGCCCACCCCGATGCAGCATGGAATGATATCCGAAAAGCTGTGGAAACAGCAGTGATATCTGCTAGTAAGGTAAACCAGAAGGTTAGGGAGCAACACTGGATCTCAGCAGCATCTATCTCACTGATAGATGCTCGGAAACTCATTCCACCTGGCTCTGAACATAGTGAAGAGCGGAGTCAGCTTAAGCGCAAGCTGATAAGAAGTCTACGCAATGATCGCGAACAGTGGTGGGTAGCGAAAGCAAGAGAGATGGAAAAGGCAGCGGCAATAGGTAATAGCAGACAATTGTTCAGACTCGTTAAGGAAACCGGAATTAGGAACCCGACCGTTAGCGAAACAATCTCAGAGAAAGATGGACATATTATTCATTCTCAATCCAGGAGATTGGATCGATGGGCAGAACACTTTAGGGATCAGTTCAACTGGCCTTCAGCCACACTTCGGTTTCCCATGATCTCTAGTCAACCTGAATGGCAAGTTAATGTAGGTCCTCCATCCCTTTACGAAGTTGAAAAAGCCATAGGAAATCTGAAACGAGGGAGAGCAGCAGGCCCTGACAGGTTTACTCCTGAGATTTTTAAGGATGGTGGTCCAGTATTAGCAATGAGATTAACCGAGGTCTTAGGTAGAATTTGGGAACTGGACGTAATCCCATCTGACTGGTCTCAATCACTGATTGTGCCAGTCTATAAGAAAGGACAAAAGTCCTCTTGTGACAATCACAGAGGAATCAGTTTGACTAATATAGTGTCTAAAATATTAGCTTCAATAATACTTCGACGCCTAATCAAAGCTCGTGAAGAGCAGATTAGAGAAAACCAGGCCGGTTTTCGACCTGGACGTGGTTGTATAGATCAGATATTCACACTACGTCAGGTTCTAGAACACAGACACACGTTCAGACGCCCCACAATCGTAGTACTTCTCGACCTTAAGGCGGCATTCGACTCTGTTGATCGTGAGGTTCTATGGCAGTGTTTGTCACTGAAAGGAGTACCAAAGAAGTACATTAACCTTATAAAGGCTCTCTACTCGAACACAACTGGTAGAGTGAGAGCTTATGGCGAACTGTCATCAGAATTGATTACCTCAAGTGGTGTTCGTCAGGGCTGTCCACTCTCCCCATTCTTGTTCAACTTTGTGGTCGACGTACTTTTAGAGATAACACTCTCCTCATCTAATTTCCAGGGGTTGAACTTCTACCGGGAGGTTCACTTGTTGACTTAGAATATGCTGATGACATAGTTTTATTTGGTGAAGACGCTGACAAAATGCAGAGTCTTCTGACCACTCTAAGCAACAATGCAAGCATGTTCGGGATGCGATTCTCTCCCTCGAAATGCAAAATGTTGCTTCAGGATTGGGTTACATCGACACCCGAACTAGTGATAGGGAGTGAAGTAGTTGAGTGTGTCGACCGCTTCACTTATCTTGGAAGTCTCATCAGCCCTTGTGGTTTAGTGTGTGACGAAATCTCAGCACGGATACAGAAGGCTCGACTAGCTTTTGCCAACTTGCGTCATTTATGGCGTAGGCGAGATATCTGTCTATCAACCAAAGGACGTGTTTACTGCGCAGCAGTTCGTTCCGTCCTACTTTATGGCAGTGAAACATGGCCGGTAAGAGTAGAGGATCTTCGTAGGTTACTAGTATTTGATCATAGGTGTCTTCGAAACATTGCTCGTATATCATGGGACCATCGAGTAAGTAACACAGTTGTTAGGAAACGGGTACTAGGTAAGGATGGCAAATCAATTGATGAAGTAGTGAAACTTCATCAGTTGAGATGGCTGGGACACGTGTTACGTATGCCCAACGACCGACTTACTCGACGTGCGATGTTCAGTGGTATAGGAGTAGGTTGGAAGAAAGCTAGGAGCGGCCAGACCAAAACATGGCACAAGTCCATGAAGTCACTGACAAGTGAACTGAGTCATGTTGGTAGGTGTAGACTACCTGGTTGGGGACCACGAGATGATAGCAACCGATGGTTAGAGACCCTGAATGACATGGCTCAAAATCGTTTGCAATGGCGCAGGTGCATCCACTCTTTGTGTTCTACCAAATTCTAATCTTCTGAATTCTTCATGTCCCTTTTTTCCTCTTTCCAAATTTATTTCGCTGGATTATACTCCTGGAATAACATCTTCAAACCCTAATTTTTCTGATTACAGCTTATAATTTTACTACATCTAGCACTACGGGATTTGAATCGACCACTGCATCTCTGTGCTAAAGTGGTGTGGCAACTCGAACTGATGTACGTACGAACGAAGTTCTACGTTGTGACTGACTGACTGGTCAAAATCGATTTATATTTATACACTGAAAAGTAATAATGAAGAGTAAAAAAGATGTCATAGTTACTGTTAATTATTACCAAGATAAAGGTAATTAAATTAATGAGTGTTTTGGCAATCGCTCAACATGATGAAAAATAAGCGAATATATCCACATCAATAGGATTGTATAAAAAATAAAAACAAAGATAAAAGGTTGAGGACAGGCCCGAAATGAAATTGAAAATTAATAAACGTTATCAGATGAACCTTCAATCACCATGATGGGGAAAGGCTAATCACACTCTCCTTCTGCATGTATTAGTCAGGTCGGAAACGTTTGATAGCGATTGCCTCTACCAAAAGGAGTAAGATTGATGTTTTCTGTTCATTAATTATTTCGAATTCATTGCTTACATTCACTTCATGCCTACTATCCAAAGGGTGCAAACTACCTTAACATCAAAATGTATGTATGAAAATGATATTTAAAACTAGTGTTGGGAAATAACATTATTATTATTTGTTTCGGTCCTCGTCACGAACTAACATAAGCTATAACTCAATGAATTTAAAATTCATATTCTTATTCCAAACTATACTTTTGTTTTCCCTGATTCCCGATCGATTAAACCAGTTAAAGTTGGTTGGGGGTACAGTTTAGTTCTACCCACTTTTGGTTTGGCTTGATCCTCAGTAAAAGCCCACAAATAGATATGTCTATGTGCTGACATACAATGAAACTTTTACATACTTAGTGGCAATGAGGTTAGACAGTAGTTAGACTAAATAAAAGTTATAAAAATGAAGACTTTTCAGAAAAAGTCCTTTTTTCGACTATATCATTTTCTGACGCCGTACAATTGCATTAATAGATGATGTTTGACACGTAGTAGTCTACAGTAAAATAAAGGGATTTTACAAAAACATCAAAGTTGTCCAAGTACAGTTCAATCAAAATAAAGTTGTGTTGCACAATATAGATGGGAGAGTGTTACTTAAACGTGATTAAATTTCTCAAGTATTGAATAAAAAAGGTTGCATGATATAACAAAGTGATCAACAGTCACCAAGAGTTTACGTTATGTAACGGTTTTGAAAATAATATAAAGTAATAACCTATGGAATAAAAATAAATATTGATAATAATAATAATAAGTATTATTATTATAAATGGCAACTATAATTTGTAAAATTAGAAGAGGTGCTAAGATCATAGGAGAATAAGGGATCGAGCATGACTCTTCTGTACAAAGAGTTTGACTCGAGACGGTGAATTGCTATAGCTTCGACTGTGTATAAATTCCTCATTCAAACCTCTTCGAGCCAGTTTTTCTTACTTTGTAGAGGATTTTGAACGCAGATTCGTGTGGTGGGGTGTGATCTGAATTGACCATACGTTTTGGTACTGTTCCGTTGATTGTTTTGTATAACCCTTTAGATAATCATGTACGGTGGTTCTCATAAGTTTTTTTTTACCAAGTGTGCGCATTGTGTGGCCAATACAACCTTTTCCACAGGAGCAAATAAACTGGTAGGTGCATATTAAGATGACCCAAAGCGGCAGTTTATCATCAACACACCTCTGAATGGGTTTTTTACTGGAGAAAACAGTCTGAAGCTCTGCTGAATTTAGTCTTTTTCAAGAATCTAGAAAGTTTGTTCCGTAATATCTCAGCTGCCATATTTCCCTTGAATTCGATGTTCAAGGATAGAAATTTCTTCGGAACCATGAAAGCTCTTCCGATTTGACTAGGGTTTTAAATCACTGTCAGTGAACTTGGGTGAGTCATCCTTCAAAAGCGTACGTCGGATAACATTCAGCTCGTCGTTAATTGTCTTCAGTGCATATTTGTCTGGCTCTTGAAGATAGAGAATGAAGTAAATTTCTCTGCTTACTTAGAGGTACCAAAAGCTAGAAGTTCGTATATTTACCGTTCCAGGTTAGATTTCTGTAGAACGGTCGCTGTAAAGATCCATATGACCTTCCTTCCAGTAAAACACCGAGGAAGTGAAATTCTGAGTTTAACTTTGCTTCTATTGTGAACTTAATCGAGTGGTGACAATTATTGAACTCTTGTAGTATTTCATTAAAGCTATCTTGGTCGAAGACATTAAAAGTATCATTTGGATATCTATATCCTCCGATTAACAATTGTTCTACGGATTGTGCATAAAATAGTCTGCTACAAGAGGTTCGAATGGAGATCCCATCGCGACACAATTTATTTGACTGTAGAGATTATCGTCATAAGATCTAATCTCTCGCAAAAGTGTCTGAGATGTGAAAAAAACATGGGTCACCCAACTTAATCGCTCGTTAATATTGACTGCCCATTCTCACAGTGTGCTGATACACAAGTCTATCTCTAACCTTGACACACTTCTTGTGTTTGCCGTTATTTATAATAGTATAAAAGTTATTCGCAAAGTTATTACGATATAAAAGGTTTACCGCAATCCTCCTTCATCTTTTATCTCCCAAAGCATTTCGATGACGTCGTTGTATTGGTTTTATATTGTTGTCTGGCAGTCATGTGAGAAATAAAATATATTTTGTTGGAAAACTAAACGTTTGTCTCTGTTTCATACAAAAACTTCCAGTCAAACTGAACGAAGAAAATGCACCACAGAAATTTGTCTAATAATAACATACAACGATTACCTTGAGGTTTTGTGGAGAAACCAGTTATAGAGGAGTGCGAATTTACCAACATATGTCGGATTCAAGAAAGCGAACAAGAAGTTGGGAAATCGCTAATATAGTGTTTTAGAGCAGCTTTTATGTATTCCAATCATTTAAACACAAAAATTCGGTTCAATAACAACACGTTTAATCTTGATGCATGATAAAAAAACGGCTACTTAATAAAAATGTTTACCTGGACAGTGGTCTGGATCAGCCGAAAATGCCATCTTTAGTGTCAGATGCACGCAGTAAACTATAAAATAGTATTTTTATATTAAGACGAAAGTACCAAGTAATAATTGAGAAAATGTAATCATAATTATCCACACCCGCAGCTACTAAATAAAAATACAAACAACCCACTCTTATTGTCCATTCAAATAGTGGTTCTATAAAACAAAACTTATTATTTGAAGGCTAACATTTTGTTAATCTTAACAAAAAAATTTCAACCGTAGTGTTTGTGGTGAGAGGAGGATTTTCAACTGAGTAGGTAGTAAGAATCACCACAGTACTGTTGGAGAGTAAACACTGCCGACAAAAGTCTGATTTTATAAGGATTAAGGCGTTTTCGCTCTCTTATAGTGACATATAGTTAGAAGTAAAAAGCTAATTAAGCATCTGTTCTAAAAACGACAAATGCCTCCAACGCACTGGGTTTTGTGCAATTACACTGTACAAGCACGTTTTCTTAAAGCTCGTGTCAGATAGGATCTTAAACTGCTTACATAAACTTATGACCCGTAACACCAAATGGGACTCAGTGGACTTTATTCTTAGAAGCGTGATCCAACTAAAGGACTTTACAGCATTTGTGGACAGAACCTTAGATCATAAAGGTAGAGGAGTAGCATTTCTCGTCAAAAATCAACACTGTATTGCAGATGTCAAGAGAGCGTCAAGCAAACAAGTAACTTATAGCTACAGGAGACACAGCTACTTCAGTCGTAGACTGGGAAAGGCTAATAACATGTTTTCTAGAAACTAAAGTAAGGTTAAATATCGTTAGTGAAATAAGTGTCTCTCATTCCATGATGAATGGATTCATCAACTAGGTTTGGCTTAAAGTCCATAATATTATATTTCACTTCTAGAACATCTCATAAAACATATATTTTCAGATCAATGAGCTACAAAGAGATAAATTCCGTTAAATTTGGCTTCAGAGCATTTAAGTACTTACATTAGATATTTAGACATCGGATAAATAAATAAGCAGTGGAGAATTTAGTGTTCAAATTTTTGTGATCAGCATATGTGGATCGATTGATTTATCTACCTTCGCTTTTTGCTGTTTCTGTACGGTTCAAGGGATTTTGTGATGTTCGATGAGCGGAAGCATAGTTATTCGGCTGACCTAACTCCAATCATTCTGATTGCGTGTATTTGTGGGTTTGTATTTATCGTTATCTCAGTGAGTACGTTTGTCTCAGGATCGTCGGGTTTCTCGATACCAGAGGCTATCATATTGCCAGTTTGGGGGTCGGTTGGTTGATTGTGATGCAGAAATTAATAAACAGGAAATTAAGATTGATTCAAGAATTAAATAAATGGGTTAAATTATTGGTACTGAAGACAGTGTGAAAAGACCTAAGTATAAGAATAGGAGGCAAAATGAAGATGATAATAAGCGGGATAACGATAAGTTGATACGTAATAATGACAACAATAAATAAGCTACAAGGCAGGCATCAGGTACAGCTGGTTCAAACAAGAGATTTCGCTCTCAGGCGTTGAGATTCTCAGGGGTTTTTTGAGGAGAGTGGTATTGATGTTCTGGTAGGATCCTCATGTGGGACGTTACTTGGCCTAATTAACGTGTTGTCTGGCATTATCAGATAACGCATTATTCTCCCACAGCTCAGCGAAAATAATCAAAAGCTTTTGAATCTGCCTTCATAAGATTTATTTCCTAGCCCCATCATCCATTCAGTTGCTGGCCTCTGTACTTGGTCTGGGAAATCGATATCTTGTTTGGAGAGAGGGGATACCATAACATTTTGAACTTCGGGGTGGGGCCGTGCCCAAGTTTTGAAAGGTTCTGAACGATTTTGGGTTATCTTCACATAAAGCGATGAGTTGAGTAGGCATTAACTGCGTCCACTACTTGGCTTACACTTGTGTCCAAGTTCTCTGCAGTAACTAGCCTCAGATGGCGCTTTGAGGAGACAATCAAGTAGTGTTAAAATTATCTGTTTCTGATAATATCCCTAGAATGCAATGCTGAATAACAGTTTTTTGGACAGGATACTTGAGCTTGCACTTGACACTAGATAATTCACATTATGAGCAGTTGATTTAATTAGCTTTCGGGTTTTGGTAACCTGTGAAGGCTGAATGTATAGTTCTATATTCCCAGCTCTTAGTCGTAAGTGTGCCAACTGTAATACCATACTCCATAAATATTTATCCATTCTCTAGCTCCGCTATCTACCAGACATATCGCTTGGGTGGTGCTCCAGAAATAGACTATTGTGAATAGCTTTGCTTCAACTTCGCAATGTCGTATACGTTGGTAATCGTCGCAATAAGGGTTTCCAGGAGGACTGATAAACGGACACTAAAATGAAATCGCCCCTCTACACTTCGTGGTTTAAACAATGGTATAAAGGAGGGAACGAATCCAGGAGCTATCATGCAAAGATTGATAAGGATCGCCTTACTCGATACTCATATAATATGGAATCCATGTTACCAGTTGACATCATTTTAAGTATACAAGTGCAATATACATGCAATACGCCAAAAAATTACAAGTAGTGCTAGGTAATTAAAGTCTGACCAACTTAATAAATAAAATTCGAAAATTCTCTGTTCTCATGCATATGAAGTTTCGCTTCATGATCAGTATACTGTTTTACTTCGAAAAAATAAAACAAAACATAGGTACCCAGCTTTTGTTATTGGCACTATAAAATATATTGAATAAAAGAAGTCTTGGAAAAAAATCAAAAATGTACGTGGCATATATTTATTGTCAATTCTTGTAATGTGGTCTGTAGTTTGAACTCCAGCTTATGCGCCTTACAAAGTGTTAGTTGGAAAGGCCGGCATATAAACACTGCCGGATCTTCTTTATTTGAATGCTAGTTCCATTGAGTTGGCGCTCATGTACTCAATGTATCATAGTAATAAAGTAATAAATGTAGTGATAAAGCGGAGCGTGTCGAAAGTATATATTATGTTCATGCGCGCCACAATTTAGACCGTTCGCGGCATTATATCAGTTTGTATCTAACACCGGTACTGTTGACACTCTTTGACGTACTTCGTTATGTCTTCAGAGTAGATATAATTAAATCGCAGTTGATCATGGTCGATGAAGTGAAGGGCTAGGAGTTGAAAATCAAGAAACTTTAGTTACTTGATCATAAGCTCTCTAAGAGAGCCTATGACAGCGCATCTATAGAATTATAGTCTACTTAGTTGTTAGCATTATTATAGTAATAGGCCTAATCCTGAAGTTGAAGATTGTCAAGATATGACAACCCAATCTATAAGATCTTACGTGAGAGTCACATCCTCGTCTGCATTGACTCGTCCTATCGTAATATCACCAATATATGATGGACAATACATTTGGGTTGGAGATAAAACAATGTACTTCGTATGAATAAAAGAGATAAGTTACACAAGAATGACCACGCTTACAAGGCTGAGCCTTGCCATTTGATTATTTCAATTTCGAGTGAATTTTACCGCGTCCACCATTATTTACCTTCTCGTAGTGCTACATGCTGAAAGTCAATTTTCCCAGTTATCTCATGTTTAGCCCTGAGGATTGTCGTTAGGATCCAATGCCATTACACATCACATCCGTAAAGAAATGATAGGAATTAATAGGTCTCATAATTACAAACTGAGGTACATGAAGTCGAAGTTCACCATCCTTTGAAGGCAATAATTTATTTCTGAAGAACTCGATTTAACGTACACATCAATGTACATGCTCATCGGTGCTAGGACTATATTTATATCTTTCTACGTTTTCGGTGTAAAATCTATCACAAAAACTCATTAGAGTGGCTTACTAGTGAGCGGGACACCTCCTAAGAAAAGGGCTCGGACTTTCGTCAGTATCCAAACATCGTGATAAGTTATAGAAATATCAGAAAACATCAGTTTCAGTCAACCCTATCACATAACTCTGGTAAACTTGAATTCGGTGCCACTGTCAATTCGTTTCGTACCTAAAAGCCCTTTTAACTGTTTCCTATATTTGCAGATTCAGGAATCTGTTATCTTGATACATCTAACTGCCCGTCTTTTGCTGGTGGATTGTTTACGCCCATGTTGAAAACTAAACAGGATATCGTTTGCTACTAAATAAGAAAAGGATGAAAGCATAAGAATACAGAAACCAGATTTAATTAGCGTAGACCAAAGATTACTTGGCAGAAACTTTAATTACGATTGTCTAAAATGACAATGATGAGTGTAAACAGTAATTATACTTCCAGTTATTGTTCTCACATATTTTGAATTTCAATCAAGAATCGTAATAGCACTAGAAACAACATTAGCTACAACTGAGACAATATATGTGGAGATCCTACCTTGAAAAATGAAGTATTAGTACAGTTGAGCAGGATCCACGGTAGTACTGATACTAGAAATAAATTAAAGTACTTAGCTTACGACAAAATATTGTTGTTAATGCCACCTGTTTTTACCGGCTTCTTATTTATTTCTTTTACAGTGAACTCGAGGTAGTCTATCAAAATAATGACAACATTATCAAGACTAGAAATTCGACAAGACATAGGCAACAACTCGGATAAGAAGTACATGGTATGGAATTGCAATGTATCGCTATCACGGATTCAAGCACAACATAGATAAATTATATTTTACATTGAACATATTAGTTATTCACCGCGCCCGCCACAAATGTAGTCTCAGTTTATTTGCAGTTCTGTAAGGTCTCAATCGTTCAGCATTCTTGTTTTCATTTCTTTCATCTGTCTGACACTTGAATTACCCGAAGAGTCGTTACTATCTGGTATGCCACGTGTAGCATAGTTGTTTGAGAATAAAATATTATCATCACCACTGAAATCGAAACTGGAACTCTCCATCTAAAGTTTGGAATTATCTTCAGAATTGGAATTAGCTACAAAATGGCCAGAATGATAAGTGAATGCTTTCACTTGACTGATCTTCACCTCGTCTATACGTCTGCTGTGAACCGAATGGTCATTTAAATCAAGAGTGCTCACAATCTAACCACCTATTTTCTGAGTTGCAAGTCCCGTAAATGATAGGTATTCATCTTTTCAGTAAAACTTTATTACCTGTCATATTTTACTTGCTAAATGATTTTGGAGTATGCGCAATCCATGTAGGTTAACTAGACTGTCATGCATTTCTGAACCTTCTGCA